TCCAGAGAAAGAGAAGACAGAAAACAGACAGAAGAAAAATCATCGCGGATGCTGTAAGCAAAGTCACTTAATTTGTTTACTTCCGCAGCCATTTGCCAATCTGCCAATTGCGACCCCAAGAGACTGCAGCAAGCGCCTCAGGGCCAGGTTTGTTCTGTCCTTTTTTATAAGAGGGATGCTGCTCTCAACTGCTTCAGGCACTTCGTTTGAAACATGCCAGCCGTGTCATTGCCAAGTCCTCAGCTAGTGTCTTCGCGCTGCATCTTGCAAAAAGAACATTTACCGCTTGGTGCACTCAGGTTGTCCTCTCCACTCTGGCTGGGTCCTTCGTATTTGGCCCCTCGTTGCTCCCTTGCTTGTGCCCGTGAGACTGCAGTTTTGTTTGACGCCGTCACTTCCTATGAATCTTCTGCAATGGCTCGTGCTGGTGATGTCTTCCTGGTGAATTCTGCTACTACTCTTACTGACGGCTTTTCATGGTTTCTGTCCAGTGCGGTGCTGTTGAAGCTCGCTTCCTGAAGCTAGCGTCCTCCAAGGATCTCCAAGTGAACCCTGGCCTGGTTGTTCTGGACTTGGATGTCCCGTCTGCCCAGCGTCCACCTTGTCTGGCGCGCCATGGTTCCTTCTCGGCTCGTTCTGGCTTTCCGACCAAGACTGCAGTCGGACCAGGATGCATTCCGTGGGATTCCTCTTTGCGCCCGGTTTTGTATCCCGGTTTACCTGTTTGCAAGATCCACAGGCCCAAATCCGTTTTGCTTTCGTCGCATCCGCAAGTGGCTCCTCTTGGGACTTGTCGCTCGATCATGAATGTTTTAGGTCCCCACGCAGCACTCTTCTGGCACCTGCCTGTGCAGGAGCGGAATCGCGCAGCGCGAGCTCTACTGCCATGTTTTGGTGCAAGCCAGCCCTCTGCCGCGTCGCGACTCCAGCGATTGTCTTTGGACTGCTCTCATCGCGCCCTGCCTGGTTCCTGCGTGTTTCCTTGCGTGCCGGGTTGGCTGTTTTGCCCGATGGAAAATGGTGCCGCTTCCCATTGCTGGTGGATTTCGCACGCTGACCTCACAAAGCAAAATACCCTGCACATGCAATTCAGGAAGTTTTGAAAGCCAATGTCTCTGCAGATGTAGTGGGTCCAGTCACAAGCACACAGCACATTCAGATTGCAGTCTCCGCTTTGCACCGTTGGTACCCACAGGGCCTCTTGATCCTACATAAGCCAGCGAGGTCCTGCTTGTTGTTTTTGCCCGGGCATGATGCTCAGCAATTTTCCCTCGTGGAAGCTGGGCAATGGCTGGATGCGTGCCCCCAGACACTCGCTATGTTATATACACAGAAGCATGCCCATAAACTTGGGCATTATGTGGCTTGCAAACTACATCGCGCTAATCCATCGTGCCTGCATAGTGGAATTTCGCCGAAGGTTGAAGCTGGATTGCGTGGTAGTGGAATCTTTACTGATCCCGTAACACCTGTGCCCGAATCCTCATGTCCTACAATGTCAAGCTCTTCGCTCCCGTTGTCGCAAAGCGGTGTTGCCACCGGTTTAGGTGTTCGAGCAGAAGGTGGTTTGGATGTTGACAGCCCTGCCTGGACGGGCGAAAACGAGAGGCCTTGCGAAAATCCATGCTGTCGAATCTGTTTTGGGTCAAGGTTTCCGCTCCGTCGCGCATCCTGTTCAGCAGCGATGTCAACGGCGGCGTTCACTTTGCCCTCAAAAGTTTTGCCCCAAAGCCTGCCTGCTTCTCATGTAAGTCCTGCTTTTGCGTCTTTCAATGTGCCTGCTTGTGTTCCTACCGTGTCACCGACATGGCCCTTTGATGTTGAGGAAGCTACCGTGTCACGGTCCGAGTCTGTCTCCTCTCCAGCCATGGGAGAGCCAATCTTTTCTGGCCCTCTGGAACACTGCGTGCACCGTCAGGCTTCTGCAACTTGGACTTCTTTGCCTTTCTTCCCAAAATGGTTGCCCAAGACAATGCAACATCGTCATGAGGTCGCTTCCAATTCTTTGCCTTTCTTCCCGAAGTGGCGTCCAGCTACGGAGAACCTACCAGAGGCTCATGGAGGCATGATTGGGGACACACCACCTCCAGTGCACGCGTCGTCGTCCACATATTGGAACCTGCTAGTTGTGGGTGTCCCGGCTCCAATTGCTCGAGCAGCGGCCCGTCGGTTTTGCGACGATTTTGACGCTGCCTTGGATTGGGCATGTGCGTCTGACAGGCGGCACACGCGCGTTGAACCAGGTTACATTGATCTTGTGCATTCTGCCAGTGAGGATGGTTCTCCATGTCCCGGTGTGCCAGTACATCTCCTGATGCGCTCCCAGCTCCTGCTTTGTCATTGGCCGACGTTCATGTTCCAGCTCTCACTTCTGGTGTCGGCGCTCCTGCGCTGCCGCTTGTGCCTAGACCTCCTGCTTCTTGGACTATGCATACACGTTCTTTTGCCGCTTCCGCCGAACTCGGTCGTTTGCACAGTCCCCATGGTGCTGCTTCCTCGCATGCTGCTGCCAGTGACAAGACGGAAGAGACCTTGACTTCCGGTGATCAGGACACCCTGCCCGGGCGCATGGGCATGGCCTGCTATGTTGACGACCCCGCTGGGGAAGTGCATGCATGGTTCTCCATACTTGCCAATTCCAAAGGAGACGCTGGCTTGGACAGTGGTTTTTGGGGTAGGATGCCTCTATATTCTCAATACATCGCAGAGCATAGTTTATGTGAAATTTTGGTCGAGTCTTTGAAATCTATTCAGAACCTTCGTGGATTGGATTTGTCCATTGAGCAAGCCGCCAAGTTTCCGCGTTCTCTTGGCCAGACAACTCTCCTTCCTTTGGCAGTAGCGTGCGAATACTTGCACGAAGGATGTGGCCTCCCGGCCATTTTTGCTTTCGATCTTTTCCAAGCTTGTTTGGCCTCTTGTCAGAACAAGGCTCTAGAGGTCGCCCTGTACGCGGACAAGTCAAAATCATTCACATGCAAAGCGCGGTGGTGGGCATGCCCCACCGGCGATCCAAACGCGGGGAAGTCTCCGACGTGTGCCTTTGTGATGAAAGCCTTTGCTAGCATGGTGGAATCCTTGCCTCACGCGTTCTGGCCAGATCAGCATTGGATTGGTGTGATTGGTGTGGGGAACAACAACCGCATTCAAAACCGACTCCGAGCGTTGGACGGAACTCTTCTTCTGTATGGTCCTGAATCCAAACCCATTCTAGACCCAAATTTTCCAAGCAAGAAGACAGTGGACACTGGCAAGTTCTTGGACTTGACTAGGTGGCTTGAGTCAGCCAATGGAGGCCGCTTTGAGTGGGGGACTGGCGCCGAAGAGAACCTGCGACAAAAGCGCAACCCACCCATAGCCCTCGCTGGTCATGAGGCAGCTCCTGCCCCGCTCGTTTTCGATCCTACGAATATCAACTTGTGCCTCTTTCAGCAATTCAATTTGTTCGAAGATTGGTGGTGTCATGTCGAGGCACTCCACAAGTGCGGCTTTAGCGCACGGGTGTTGATGAGCCCAACAGGGCGGGCCATCGTTGACAGAGAAGTTGGGCTGCAAGACCCTGCGTGCGTTGCGGATCTCATGGTCAAAATCTGGGCTCACACTGTGGAACACCATGGGCCGGACGCCCTGCCGTTGCAACCTTTGCACCCGTCTCTTCCAGCCCAGGAAGCTGTGCGATCCCTTTACTATGACTTGCATGAAGAAGACCAAAAAGGCGGTTGGGGGTCAGCCATGAAAGCTGCATTGGGCAAAATGGAGTACCGTGTCCCAACAGCCGCATGTCTTACTGCCCTTGCTTCGTGGGCTGTGGAGCCATCTTCTCAATCTTTCGTTCTCAGTGACTTGGCTTTATGGAAGAATTTTTTGTGTGTCTGAAATTAGAATCGCATTTGGTGCATTTTTTAAGAAAGTTCAGGCTCGAGCATAGATGTGTTGCAACGCCAAGTGCCAAGTATACGGTCGCAAATAGTATATTGCTTTCTGTTGACCCCCGATCCCGTATGTCCGCTCCCAACCCCCTGGCTAACAACAGAAAATCTTTGTAAGATTGTGTCAGAAAGGTTAGCGCCGTCCACACTCATACATCGACGCTCGGCACAGATTTCCCAACAAAAATGCATCAGGGGCACCGCCCACAATCACAATATATATATATATATCTATCTATCTACCTAAAAATATATACGCACACATCATTGCAAACAGACCAGACACCACACTATTTTTGCCTTTTGTGACTCCGCTGTCATGCTAAGTGGCCCACCCTGCAAATTACTGGACGTAAACTTATGATCTGACACCGAGCAACGCCCGCACAGCAGATTGTTATACACAGCCCGCAAACCACCGCAACGCACCACACATCATTCCCTTTGTGACTGTGCCACAATGGTCGACTCTAAAGCCCGGCTCAACAAAGGCGAGGTACACACCTGCCACTCAATTTGTATATTCCTTGCGACCTTGCCCCAGTGGCCAACTGCAGATTGCTACGCAACTGCAAAGGACACAGCGTGCGCCTGATTGTTGTTTGTGGTTGCGTGCAACGAAGACAAACTACTCATCCGCCACCCAACTATTGCCCCAATGTTGAGGCCGCCAACCACGCACCACACTACCTTTTTTTTGCCCTTCGTGATTGCGCCACAATGGTGGATGCTACGGCCCACCCTGCAAACTACCACGCAACGAACGCAAATGCCGGCTCCCCACCGTGCTACGACCCACCTACACTAGCTAGACTTTGTGTAACCTGCTGCGTCAAGACATATGATGAGGGAGATCACTAGGAAAAGCTTTTCTATTTTTTGACTGCTTAGAGTTGCTTGTTGCTGTGTTCTTCTCCACGTTTTGAATGAATCTGAGGTGACGATGCCATCAAATGCTCCATTCAGCACTTTGCCCTCCGTCTTTGCAGAAGTTGCGCAATAGTGGATTCGACTGTTCGTCGCGTGCATTCCAAGCCCAGAGTCCAACCCTCTAGTCTGGCCTCGCCTCAGCAAGTCCGGCCAATGGCAGCCCGTGTCTTGGAGACGTGCCTCAAAGACCCCATTCTTGAGACGCACCTCAGCACCCATTTCGCCATGCTCCGAGGGTCTGCCAAGCGCGAGGACAGGTTAGCCTTGCTGAATGAGCTTGTTCGCTTGGGCCTTGGGGACTTAAAAGAAAAGAAACGACGGCAGGGAGGGACGGGTCGATATGTGGAATTCCATCGTTGCCCTCTCTCTCCAGCGATTTCAGCCACCCTTCTGGACCTACAAGTCTCTGAGGCTTTCTGGCCGTCTTCAATCCCGCAGTCTGCTGGTCAGGATGCACGTCCTGAGCGCTCACCACTTCCACCAATGCATGGCGCAGGAAAACGTGGAAGACACGGGGAGGAGCCAGCAGACAACGCTGAAGAAAACGACGCACGTCGGGGTCGTCCTTCTGCTGAGGAGGTTGCTGCTCTCTACACCATGCGGTACACACTGCCGTGCGAGCGCGCCTTGTCCAAAGTCGATTTTTTTGAAGCAAGAGCAAGCTTGGGCAAGTTCTCTCATACCCGGGCACAATTTGAGAATCCGGTCCCAATGCGCTCCACATGCACACGGCTTCAAGGCTTACCTCTGGTGCAATTCCTGCGATGCATGTCAGGATCGGAAGGGCTGGAAAGCAATTTGCACATACAACCAGCCGGAGAATGAAATTGAGAGGAAGTCCACTCCAATCACTGCCCACGGCGATTTTAGTGCCACACGGGCATGGAATCCTCTGACTGCTACTGCCGAGCATGCTTTGAAGCAGTATGTGCAAAACCATACTCGTTTCACAACCCAAGACCTTGTGCGGGTCGTCGAGCAACACCAGCCGGACCGCCCGTCAGACGCCTGGCTCCGCACGTGGGGAAAGAACCACCGCGTGCACAAGGGCAGTGCTGCTTCCCGTGCCAGTTCCTTCAAGTGGGTGGCTGCAGACTGGAGACAATTGGAGCGTGAACTGGGTTCTGTGCAGGGTGTAGATGATGCTGTAAATGAGCTAAAGGTTGCAGATCTCCTATTGGAACCCGAACACACAGCAGTAGTTTTTTGCAACCCAATGTTGCTGCAAGACACGTTGCGCAGTTTGACAAACAAGACCTACATAAAATTGTGCGGAGATGGCACATTTAGACTGACAGAAGATGATTGGGTCTTGATGACTGTAGGTGTCTTGTCCAAGCATTATGCTGCATCCGAGGGCGTCTATGCTTTTCGCACGGTCTTTCATCCTCTTGTTTTCGGTCTTGCCAACAAAGAAAGTCAGACGACTTACCAGGTTTTATTTGAAGCTTTGTGTGCGTGCGCTGACCGTTTTGCAGATGTGGATTTACGTTCGGCCTGTCACCAATACCATGCAGACATGCACCCTGGTGAGGACCTGGCTCAAAAGTCGGTGTTTCGCTGCGCTAGCCGGGTGACCGACTGGGCACATGTCATTGGTGCTTGCAACCGCCCCAAGACCACAAAAGCTTTGATGCCTGCAGATGAGAGGATCAAAACCTTCCGCACAGGTGCCTTTGCCACAGTGAAAAGCCATTTGACGCAGAGTGGTCTGAAGTTGTTGCCCTTGGTGGAGCGAGCGTTCTTTTGTCTTCGCTGTGTCCCTACAGCTCTGCTTTTTCATTCCATCACTGCTTTGCTTCTTCAAACCCTTGTTTCGCAGCAGCCCCCTGAAGAGAAAGCAGCGAAAGCATTGCAGAGGCATTACTTTGTCAAGCATTCGCGCCAGCAAGCCCAGACTGCTTTTGGAGCCTTTGACTGGCCCGGAGAACCAACTACGTTCTACACCGCTGAGTGGTGGTGTGGCCTGCAGCGAATCCAGCCTGGATCCGCTTCCGGCACACAAGCGCAGGAGTCATGGCACCGCTGGAAGCTTAAAAAGTACCTCGGCCTCCGCAGTAGCTTGCAATCCTTCGCATCGTCCTTAGCCAGCTTCACTAAGTCACGTCTGATGGACTTGCGTGCAGCGGGCTCGTGCCTACCCGACATGCCAGCCGAACCGTTTCCTGATAAGATGGTCTTGTGTGATTCGGACGCACTGACCCGGCAAGGCCGGTCATCGGCGGAACAGTTTTTTAGGGTGCAGGCGTGGGACCGTTTTGACGATGATGATGGGACAACATTCTTGTGCATGCGCCGCACCCTGGCCACATATGACCACGCTTCCAAAACTTGGGTCAGAACGCCTGACAATGCCGTGCAGTGTCCGTCCTCTGGTTTTGCGCAAGCTTTTGCGAACCTTCTCCGGGCCAATTCTGAAACCTCCTTGACCCGCGCTCTATTGAACCTCGGCCTGGCGCAGCCTCTTTCGGATTTGGAAAAGCTTTTGAAGCTGTTGGATTCCTATGTTGTTGTTGCAGTGGGCCACTTTGCTGCCCAATTCTGGCGTCGAGAGTCAATGGCGCAGGAGCTCAGCCCGCATACGCAGGGCTTTTGTGCGTTTTGCGGCGAGTTTTGTCTCCACGCAACCTGTGAGCACATGCATGCTGCGTTCCTCGTTTTAGGCCAATTGTCGCTACAGCGGCCAGTGTTTCCCCAGCGAAGCCAGCCGGTACCTTTGTTTGAACAACAGCCTGTTCAAGTCTTGTTGCCCTCGGCTTTGGGTGGGCTCTCGGACCAAAGCCATCCTCGACCTCAGCCTTTGGCCATTCCGCGTGAGGACGCTGCACTTGCTGCGTTTCTACGCTGTCACCAGTGGACTTTGTGGAATCCTCCGCTGCAACAGCAGCAAATAACAGTTCATCAGTTGTCCGTCCTGAGCTTTGCAGACCTCCGCCTTGCCTTGCCAAGTCTTCCTTCTGGTGTCCTCCTCCAAATGCAAAGCGCTGCCACGAAGTGGGTGCAGCATCAGGCCTGCGCCTCAAAAGCCAGGATATAAGTTTGATGATGCGTCAACCTTCGGTGTTCTATGTTTTGTTTGGTTTGAAACCTTGCTTGAACATCACTTCGCAATTTCCACAAATCTGCCAGAAGTGCCCGCGACAGGTGCCACCTGCAGATGTCCCCACAGAAGTCTGGCCCTAAAAGCTGATCTTGTATGTCGCTGCCTTTTGCGCATGTTTGTTCTTTCCGTCCGCCGTTGCGGGTCCTTGCGTCAGCCTTCATTGACCACGGTCTGCCAGCTTCATGTCCCAGAGGTGGCGGCTGGAGTTGGCTCATCAGATGTGTTCGACTAAGAGCTTGCTAGATGTTGCACTTTCGCGTGTTATGTGTGCCTTTTTGTCTTGAGCATTCACCCATAGGTGCTTGCTGGGGAGGACTCTGCGGATGTCTCGCTCCTGGCTCGTTTGCGTACTGCTTGATAGAGATCTGTCACTTGCCTTCGTTCGTGCGTAGGTACCTGGCCATGCTGCAGAGTTACCTCATTCCAACGTTGCAACCTTAATCATTACTGGTCTGCTCTGATATGGCTTGGTGCTGTTTTCGATGCCGCTTTACATCGCTTCGACTGAGGTCAGTGCCCGCGGATCTGCCC